GGATGGTTCGCTCCTTGCTGCGCTGTTCCCTGCCGCGCTGTTCCCCGCCGCCCCCGCCTCCCGGCCGGCCGCAGTGCAGGTCCCGGCAGACCCATCATAGGACAATTTGCATACTGAGTTTACGGTATGATGTAAATGTACCCTAACAGAACAGAATTTATCCCTTAAGATTTAATATCTAACTCTATTGTAAACTCAAGCTAGTTAAACTTTTCTTTTGTTAACAGACATATTACAGCAAAAACAGGAATATACTGAAAACACTTTTCAGTTATTTAGACATATAGACTGTAAAATTCCATTTGTTCAAGAAATGATACTGAAAATAAGAACATCAGTGAATCTCTTTTTCTTCAACACTAGCCTATAAGAACTATAAATGAACTGTGTCAGACACAAATGGATTCTGTCCTGAACAAAGAAATGAAGTTCAATGTTTCTTTGTCAAATTGCATAAAATACTTAAGAAAACACTAAACGCATAAAAAGGTATGTGGAAAAGAGTTTAAAACCTTGATTTATTAATTTTATAGTGATAATAAAAGCTAATTCTCCAAATAATATTTCTGTGTTATAATTCAGTTTGCCCTTGAATAGAGCTGGTAATATAACACACCTGCTGGTGCTGTACATTATTATCTATTCTAGGAGATAAGCATTCACGTGCTGAAGTACTCTGATCATTAGGCAACTTATAATTCTTTTTGATGGGGATCAAAGAGCTAAAGTTTTGGGCAGTTTAAAAAAACATAACAGCTGACAAGTTAAATCTCTGCCAAATTATTCAAGAACAATTTTGACAATATTAAACCATGCCTGGTTATAATACGGTCTCTGTCGCTAGCTGAAGAATAATTCTTTGGATTTTATTTATTAGTCATGTTTTCTTTTCAGATTTCAATCCTTCTTCATATAACTTTGATTCCCCCAAAAACTTAACAGGAAATATACTTAGAGCACTAACAAATTTTTTGAAATAGCATTTACTTGAATTAGTTCATCATCTTTTAACTATTATTTCTGTGGAATTACTCCTAATTTGTACACGTGTAACTGATAAGAGCAGATTGTCTATTTTTTTTATCAAAGTAGACTAATTATGTAAAACTTACTACTATGTAGGAAACAGGCTTTTTTAAATGCTATGAATCAGTTTAGTTTTCAAAGCAACATTAAACTTATATTATTTACTGTTTCTATTATGTTAGCCCATTTTCTAATTTCAAAGTAATTCTGAGATATTATAAAGAAAACCTACCAATTCAAAACTAAAGTAATCACTATTATCTGTCAAATATTTGAGCAGCTTTTCTATTGGATAAAAGGGAGATTAGTCAGTGCTGTGGGGGGAAAAAAAGCACTTTAAATTTCTAAAAAAAAAACTGATTAAAATTCAGTGCATAAGCATTGTCATAGGAATCATATTATTGTCTGTGGGCATTGATCCGGCTGTAGTTTACAAATAACTTTTGCCAATAATAATTGATTCAAGTTTCAAAATAAATACATATATTCCTCCAAGACTAACTACAAGGTACTAAAATTAAATCCCCTCACGTTCTCATTTTATAATTTTTATTATCTTAAAATTAGTAAAAAATAAACATATTAAAAATCTTACTTCTGATAAACTGATTCTTTGAGGAACAGTTCCTAGAACATCTCCACTCGTTTGTACAGCTAGCCCTGAAGGAGTGCCGAGGGTCCTCCCAATTTGACTCTTAGACGTTAAAGATCTGCTTCTTTGTATTCCTTCCTTACTTCTCTGGTTGCTAGAGATAAGAGGTCGTGTCAACAAACTATTTGGGGTTACAGGTCTGCTTCCTGGAGTTGACGGTGTTGAAGGCCTGTTGTTCTGCATATTAGGAGACTGAGGCCTATTGTTTGAGATGCTGGAAACCTGCGCTCTGGTGTTAGCAGGGAGTGGTGGTGATTTGTTTCCTTGTAGCTGCAGCTGAATATTTTTCCCAGTTTGAGACCTTGAATTTTGGCCCACTGTGGCTTGAAGATTTCCTGGATGATTTGATGTAACTAACTGAATATGTGGGCTAGTGGGGCTTCTTGCTAGCCTTGCTTCTTCCCAGAGTGCTAGGTCCTTTTCAATGTCTGCGCACAGAAAAAAAAAGACAACAAGTAACATTAAAGTTTAAAAAGGATACACTAGGGACTTGTTCACATGGAGACTCGGTGCACAGCAAGTCAGGATCTGAACGTACAGTGCTCCAGTCTGCTGCACACTAAGTTGTCATGTAGACCCTGTGATTGTGTACTAAAAGTTCCATAGGGTACTTTGATGTTCTGCTGTTTGAAACAGAAGTTAAAGAGCATTTTTAGTGTGTGGTAGCAGGGTCCATATGGACAGTGAGACACAGCAGGCTAAAGTGCTGCAGATGTATACCTGGATTGCTGAACAGTATCTGTCCATGTAGAAGAGCCTAATCTATATAATCTCTTTTCTTCTGGATTTTGAAATTGATTTAAAGTACGAATGAACAGTAAATGCATCTTAAGGTTGTGGAGAGAAAACCTACTCATCACCTCTCAATCATCCCTACCAATAGAAGGCAGACTGAACTAACAATCTAAAATATGTTTTTACAAGCCATTTCTCCTTCAAAGTTCATCCCTAAGAAATGGACTAAGACATCACTTTGTAGCAATCTTTTCTTGACATGAAAGGTATTAAAGCCAAGAATAACCTTCATTATTTCTCCCAAGTTACAGTTCTGTAAGGCAATGTCTACACTAGGAAACTATTTTGAAATACTAAATTTGACTTCTGATTTAACAAATTCGAACTAGCCCTCACTAAGGAGAAGCATCAAAATTAGTCCGAGGCAGGCTCCATTAATGTGGATGTGTTACCTTGGACTTACAGCCCCAGGAAGCACTGGGGAGTAATTTCTTTGAATTATTCTATGCAGTAATTATTTCAAGATAGCGGCACTAGACAATCCACACTGCCATTATTTCAAAATAACATTTTGGAATTAGTGGTACTGCTGATGAAAAACAAGAGTACAGATTTTGAATTCCGCAGCCCATTATTTTAAAATAACAGGCGTGGTAGTGTGGACGCTCCACTGATAAATTCGACGTCGGGCTAACTTCTGTGAAATGTCTCTTTAGTAACAAATAAAGATGGAGCAAAACTCTGGTTCTGAATAAACCTCAGCTCTTTTGAGGGAGGAACGTGAACCAGATTCAATATCACTAACTTCAGCAGAAACAATCCTTTATACCCAAGAATTTGGTCCATAAAGGGGCTTTAGCTTTATCTAAGCCACATTCTAAGTCACTTCAATGGGAAAGCCTCTACCCAGGCCAGGACATTTCACTGTTGGTGAAGAATTTTTGCTCCTGAATTCATTCAAAATAAATTTATGTTTCTAATTTACAGGTAAATGAAATCATTACAGTGTAAAGTAATGGTAGCTTGGTCCTTTACTATACTAGCAAAATGAAAGCCCTCACAAGTAAAAATGTCAAGGAACATAAAGCAAGACATTCACTGAATTATCTAATTTATGTTTCACCACTGTTGTCAATTTCACACAGTCACTGGCAGATGACTCTATTTAACTTTGGTTTAATACACACAATTGGTTTCCTTTAAAAACCACAGCAGTTCCATTTTGCTTTAAACAGTATGAGCCACATTATCAGCAGGTGTGAACTGGCACAGCCCCATGCACTACAAACTGTGTGCGTATAATGAAGCCTCCAACTCACAGAAAATCTGCATTGCATTTGTGACTTGACAGCAAAGTCTTCAGGATGCCAGAAATTCTACAGCAACCATCAAACCTTGTTTTCCAATACTTTAATTTAGACTTTATTTTCATCCACTTCCACCTATATTTACCAAACACATACAGTATTTATACTATACACACAAGTAGAATTGTCTAACATTAAAATGTGCTCATATTTTATTAAATATTTTATGCATTTACTTTTTTAAAAATAGAAAAACTAATTGTGTCTGTTCATCTAAAACAAAACAATCAATATGTTAGAAGACTGGTAATGGAGAAGAAGCACTCAAATTGTTAGTGAAAAGTCAAAGCAGTTGTTTTCATTTTACATTACACTTTTTTTTTTTAAATCAACATGTGTTGCTTTGAATTGTGTAAGATAACTGTTTCAAATCACAGGGATCAAATACCATTATTATAAGTTTCATAATTTAAACCAAACAAAGTATGTATTCTATTAAATTAATATTAACCCGTTTCATGTCAAAATGACTAAAGTATCTAACTTCTGTGCCCTAATTCATAGTAGATCAGGCTGGAAAAATGATCTGGAATATCCATGCTTTAGTAAGAGTTCTCTAAACATCATATTCTTTTTTTCCATAATTTTAAATTAGCGCTTGAGTCTACAGAAAAAGCCATTTCTCCATATACAGTAGACTTCCAATAATCCGGCACCTTTGGGACCCAGGGAGTGCCGGATTATCGGATATGCTGGAGTATCTGGAGGTACTCCAGCGGGGAGGCTGTGACGGGTCTGCCGGGACCCGCACTGCAACTGGCGGGGGCGAGGAGGTTGGCAGGGAACGGCGCGGCGAGGGGCAAACCCTCTGCCGTTTTGCAGAAAGGTGGGGGAAGCCACGCGCAGCCACCGGCGACAGGCCAGCTGGGGCTGCAAGCAGCAGTGGCGGACTTGGGGAAGCAGTGGGGCAGAGCTCCTGGGGTTCTGCCAGGTCGGTCCCGCAGCACCGCCCCTCACCTGAGCGGTGCTGCGGGACCAACCCGCCAAGCAGGAGGGTGAGGGGCGGCACTGAGGGACCAACTGGGCAGCACCCCAGCTGCTCTGCCCCACCACTTCCCCAAGTCCTCCACTCGTCAGTTTCAGCAGCGGCGGACTTGGGGAAGCGGCAGGGCAGAGCAGCTAGGGTGCTGCTGGGTTGGTCCCGCAGCACTGCCCCTCGCCTTACTCCTTCTTCTCCGTCGCCGCTTGCAGCCCCAGCTGGCCTGAAGCAGGTGGCTACACGGGGCTTCCCCCACCTCCCTGCAAAACGGTGGATGGTTCGCTCCTTGCTGCGCTGTTCCCTGCCGCGCTGTTCCCCGCCGCCCCCGCCTCCCGGCCGGCCGCAGTGCAGGTCCCGGCAGACCCATCATAGGAGTATAATCCCCTTCCCCTCTCCTTCCCTTCCCTTTCCCGGCCTGTGAGCGTGCATGGGGCTCACAGGAGCTCTAATTGTCTGGCTGGTTGGAGCACTTCTGGGTTCCAGTTGCTGCCAGACTATCAGGAGTGCTGGACCACTGGATGCCGGACAACTGGAGTTTTACTGTATAATTTCAAAAGATTTCCACAAATGGTTCAATTTTATGTAACACATATCTATTGCTTTTTGCTTCACCATCAAGTTTCCCAACTAAGGATGCATCTACACAGCAGGGCTTAACTCAAAATAAGCTATGCAAATTGAGCTACATCAATGGCATATCTTATTTTGAAATAGCTTATTTTGAAATTGGGAGCGTTTACACAGCACTTATTTTGAAATAGAGCACTCTTCCACTGACTAACCTTACTCCTCATACAATGAGGGACACAGTAGTCTGAGTAAGAATTCCTCCAGCTTGACAATATTTTGACATTATTTTGAAATAAATACCTGCTGTGTAGACACAGATTAAGTTATTTCGAAATAATGTTTCTCTATAGACATACCCTATATGAATAAGCTTAGTTTTGAATTTCCAACACTACAGTATTATTTGATATGCATCAAATACTGTTGTTGAGACATGGGTTGGGATTTTTGTCAGAAAACCTCCTGTTAATGTTATTTAAATGAAAATAACATGTGGGTAACAGAGTGATTCAAGGGCATCCTACTTACGTATCAGAAATACCAGAACAATAGTTTGATTGACAACACATTCATAAGGTTTTAAATGCATTTGAAAAAGGTTTTTTGTGTTTGTTTGTTTGTTTGTTTGTTTGTTTGTTTGTTTGTTTGTTTAAGAAAGGGGGCAGGAACCACAGAAATATTATTTCAAACCAAACAGATAATTAGCTACCAACAAAAATGCCACTCACATTGTGTATAACATAAAGCTGTCACTGGGCATCTGGAACTTGTGTGACTGGAACTTAGATGAAAGCATTACTGTTCAGAATGCAGGGACGAATAGGGGCACTGTATAAGTGAAAATTTGA